GGCTATCATGAGAACAATCATAGTCATCGATTTCAGTATTTGCTCTAGTTGACCTTGTGTCATAAAGCTGTGATCAGAGTTGTACACATAGATAATAGAATCAGTGAATACGATCTTAATTGCAAAGCAATGTGAGTTCACAATCATTGGAATGTACAAATGTGTACAATCCGTCCATGGCTTTCCAATGACCTACTGGAGCATATATTCAGGCACCACATATCCATTCTCTTGGAATAGGAGCATGCTATACTCAATGTCAACGGAACATGTAAACCAGGCTCAGGATGACTTAGCCAGGAATGTCAAAAGATTTTGGATGTCTCCGAGCCCGATCACACTATTTTCATGGCCATGTCGATATGCTAAAGCAGAAACACCAATAAAAAAGAGATGGTTTTTTAAATTAAATAAACAACAAATTATGTAAACATAATAAATTACAACGAGAATACACTTACGTCATTGGTGAGCACATCTTTTCTCCAATCTTGTAGCTATCTTTGAAAAATGGAAAAGTTAATTGTTACAAAAAGCATAGATAATCTCATACGTACTTTAGCAAAAAAAAAACAAAAAAACAAAAAAAAAAACTTAGATTTAAGGGATTTGAACAATTCATTGAACGCTTTGTGCCTAATAGGGTTGACCTCTTGAAAAAATTGGGGAACATTCCATCCACGAATGTCATCTTCGCCTCGCATTCTTCAAAGAAATGACTATGTCCAATCAAGGTCATCAGTTTCTTTGAAGGTGTGGGACGGCAGTTTCTCTATAGTGATTTCCACTCTCCTCTCTTTAAAATGGTGAGGGTATAAATGGTTTTTTATTGTTTTTTAAGGTTTTAAATATTTTTCCTTTTTTTTTCAATGGTCAACGATTATTTTAGAAAGACGACCCGGCCATCTTTCACCATTTCTTCTAAGGGGCCATGCATTATGATAAACCCAAACCATCCTATTTTTCCCAAATTTTAATTTACTTTTGTTGCTAAGCCTGTGTAGATTAAAATCTGATTTTTAAAAGATTTTGATAAAATTTGATAAATTATATAGTTGAAAAGTTATGAACCCTATGAAATATATAGTTAAAATTAATTGTTGATTTTAACTTGAAAAAAGTTGTGAATCCTATGAATTTTGTGGTTAAAATTAATTGTTAACTCTAGCTTGAAATTAAAATCAGATTTCAATCAGATCAAATAGGAGTTAAATCAAATGAAGGCTTAATATTAGTTTCGATTTTACCATTAAATTTGAGAAACGAATTGGCTATTCTTATTATAGTTAATTTTTTTGTCCAACCCGAATTAGTACCAAGCAAATAGAAGGAATATTATAAGTGCATCTTCAATAGTGGTGTAAAATTAGGTGTAAATTGTATCTCTAAGAACTTTTTTCCATTCTCATTCACATCTCACTAATTCACCACCTGTGCTAAGGAATGCCCCGATCAACGCTTCAACAACGTCTACAATAACCTTACTTTTTAGCGTCCTCCTTCCTTTAACACAGACTTTTCTAGAAGAAAGTGACTCTTTTTCTAAACCATGAGTTGCATAATTATCCCAAGGAATTATCCATGTTTTGGGGTCGTATGGTTCATTGCGGACGAAGCACTAAAATTTAGAAGTGACCAAACTAAGAATGAAAAATTAAATACTCGTTGACTGATATTATTTCTCTGAGGCCCTAAATAAAAGAAACAAGAAGACAGAATAGAAGACATCGAGCAGAATTTGATAAAAATAATAATGAATAAATTAACGATGTGACTTTTTATGAGTCAACCAAGTGTCGTGCATTAGAATAATGTCATTATAATTATAAAATGAAAATTGAACTAGAAATCTGTTTTATTATTTAAGGGGCCGAGGGAAAGGGGTGGAGTCGATAGGGAAGTAATATTGAAGCTTTTTCACAAACTTAGAGGTCAAATTTTGGTCCCTTCTGATGTCTCATCCAAAACTAATTTTAGGACATCAAAATAACCTACCAAAGAACAAAGGTCATGTCTAAATAGCATATGGATGTACTCTGTTGACCTTCCACCTTCTATATGTCAAGTCATGTCGACAATATCATTAATGGATCAAATGCAAAGTCACATATAAGAGCATTAGGCTATTATCTCCAGCTCTATACCAAATTTTGCATAATTTTGCACCAAACTAAAATTCACATCTAACCATTACAACAAATCTTACATCAAATGAACATTATTTAACCATTTTCTCTCTTTTTTGATTCTTAATAATTTATTTATTCGAAATATTATTAGTTTATTTATTTTACAAATACATGAATTACTAAATAAATAATTACGTTAAATTAAAGGAAAAGATTAAATTCATTAATAAATTTAAAAAACATAGTACAATTACTAAAAACACTAAAAAATGAAAATATTAAATCATACTATTAAAAATTGTGCAATGCATTTAGAAATTGGATATTATAATATTGTGAAGTCGAAATATCATTGCAATTTAACTCTCGAAATCTGTATATTCTTCTCACAAATAATTGTGTTTATTATATTTCATTTTTATTGTATTCTTATTTTAATCAATTCATTAATTTTTATTTTTACATTTAAAATTTATTTTAAATGTAAATAATAATAATGATGATGATGATAACAACAACAACAATAACAACAATTTATTGTATTAAAAAATATGTAGCACAAATGACACATATACGCTTAATCAATTTATTTGGAAAATGAAAATAAAGGGGAAAAATGGCTTTCACTACAAGAAATTTATACTTTCCCTACAAATTTTCTGTTGACGAATTGAGATTTGTAGGGGGAGTTAACTTTTTTCCCACGAAAATGAGTTTTTGTAGGGCTATGATTTGCTTCAAAATTTTTAATATTAGAGGATTTGTGCCCACAAAATTTATATTTTCTACCAACAAAAAATTTGACGGGCAAAATATATCTTTTAATGACAAAAATATTTCACATATTCTTAGGCTAATAATTAGAGGGAAAAAATTTCGGTCCCCCCTCGCCTCCCTCCTTATTTTTAGCCCATACTTGAATTACCCACTTTCGGTTCCCCCCTCCCCCCTTATTTGGTGAACAGATAAATGAAAGAAAAAGAAAAAAATGTAGAAATAATGCTTCTCCAATTCTTCAGACCACGTTTCTCCCGGGCCTCCTTGCCTCCAAAAATTTTCAGCAAATAATTCCCTCTTCAATTTGGCCGCTTTAGTTTAGTCGCGCAAACCTAATTCCAATTTTCTCACCATCCAAATTTCTTGGGTGTGATATAATTCTTTCTCTTGGGTTTGCAAGAAATTTTATTCAGCAAGGATTGCCACAATTGGAGTTCATTTTACAAGAAACTTGCGGTCGATTTTTCAAGAGGGAAATTATTCAGCCACGATTGCCACGATTGGTTGTGATATAATTCTTCCTCCTGCACATTGTATTCATATTGAGTCAAAAAAAATACGGCTGAATCAACTAAAAATTTTGAGCCCTTCAAGTTGTCTTCAGGGTATGCCAATCAATCCTACTATTAATTTGTAAATCGTGTAAAAAAAATAAGTACATACTCTTGAATTTTGATATTGCGTTTTCAATTTCTTGCTATGGAAAAGCAAATAAATATGGAGGCTATTCTTCTATATGAATTTGAGATTACGTTTTGAGATTTGGCATATTTTGAAGTTGTGATCTGTAGAAAAAGAATTGTTGTTTTGCATATGGATTGTTTGGTTGGATGCTAAGATATGTATGTACGGGATGAATGGTTCTCTGTGGGGATTCTTCACTTCTTAATTTTGTATTGAAGAGGCATTTGGATCGGGACCATATTACGAGACGGAAACATGAGCATATGAAAATTCACATGGATTGCTTTTCAATCATTAAACAAAACTGAAATTAAGAATGTTAGACACAAAAGAATATATGTACAGAATTTGGTTTGGTGAGATATTATGGAAGAGTGCACCGCTGATCAACTCTCGATGTATCCAAGTCTCTATTTGAGCGGCAGTCTGTACCAATTTTATGCATATTAGAAGAAAGCCTTTGAAAATATCCTTTTGACCTGCTGCATATTATTAATTGAAGCATGGTAAACTCGATTATGATTACAATTCTGCACAAATAAAACTAAACGAGAAATACAATGAATATGAGTAAACATACTTGTGTCTTTTTCCTAGTTTTTTGAATGCCTGAGCTGAGAGAATTGTTTGTGTAAATAGTAGGAAATGGGCCCAAATGGATGCTATTGGTGGAGCACTAAAGTTGGACAATGAGTTGAACTGGGGATATGTAGTCGCTGACTTGAAATTGTAGTTGAAATTGAATAGAGCAATGGCCATTGAGTTAAAATTGAGTTGGGCTGAGTTGGGTTGTAAGTGGAAATTATAGTTGCTGACTTCTTGTTGGTGGATTGAATTGAGAATGAGTTTCAAAAATATAAGTTTTTGGAAAAATAATAGCCAAACATAGACTAAGCAAGTTAGGAACCATAGTCATCAATTCAATTTAGTAGCAAAGAACGGCAATTTGATTGGCCATCTTAGATGGCAACTTTGGGTAATCGATAGAGGCCAAAATATTAAGTATACTAATAAGTCAAATTAAATGTTTTATTGGCCTCTAAACTTTGCACTATATTATAGCCTATTTGTCGAACTTCATCAATTGTTCCATTAACCACCGAACCTTGCTCCGTCAAACTAAATCACTTACCCGATGGAATTAGTTACTTGACATGACTATATGAATGACGGAAAAATAAGCCAGTTAAAATCACACCTAATAATAACTATCTCGCCAACTCAAAATTTTGGAAAGTATCTAATTCTTTTGAGTGCAGATAACATAGTGTAGATGTCCCCCAAGCTTATTTACAAGTCAAATGAGTCTTCTAGTGCACGACTATGATTTCCCTTCTCTTGATACTTAGCGTATTGGTGGAGAAGTGTGAACTTGCAAAACAAAAATTAAATTCAATAATTTCTTGAAAATAGTATTAAAAGTTTCCCCTAAGTTGAGTGCATAGGGAGGTATAGGGTATTCAAGGCTGAGTTGAGTGCATACTATAAGTTGCACAAGACACATGAGAATGCATTGGCCAATCCCCCTTTAGAGATGCTTGATAGAGGTGTAGATCAATGGGTAGAACTGTGCAATCATTTCAACTCCGATATGTTCAAGGAATTTATTGTGTAACTTCTTACCAGTTCACTGCTTTATTCCTAATTTTGTTATGTAATGTGTGTGTGTGTGTATATATATTCTATTCTTTGCAAAAGGCATCATCAGCAAATATAGTGAATCGATCGAAGAAGAAGTATAATCATCGTATTGGTTCACGTCCTTTCTCATACACAGTGGAGGAGATGGTTGAGGTAGTGAACTTATATGTTATCAACATGTACTTAATTAATTATAAGAATTTGCATATAGTATTTGAAACATGGATTTTTTATTATTAGGATGGTTCGAAGTTTCCCGAAGTCGACACATTTGAGTTCGCTTATGCAGGAAAGAACAAGTGTTGGACTTATAATGTAGGTAAAGCTCAACATGTAAGAAAGACTCAATACTATAACTTTGTTTTCTTTATCATGTTTTATTTACCAAGTTAGACACAAAAGAATATACTACAAAGTTAGATCAATAGAAGCTATAAAAATTATCATTATGTTAAATAGTATGACAAATTTTCTATGATTTTGTTGTGTTTATTTTGGAAGTGGACACTGGCATGGTCAAAATGTTGTAGAGAATCAATTATATCTCTTAGGTTATGCTATATCTCTTGTGTGCATTTGTGATATATCTCTTGCAAAATTTCATTTTATGAGTTGCTTATATATCTTGTGAATTGTATTTGTAGGATGAGATGCTTATCAAAGAGTCTGAATATCTTGTATAGAAGGCAAAGGAGCATCAACTTCCCAAAGATATCCCTTTGGAGGAGATACTAGTAGATGATCCTAATGCCGGAATTAATATCATGATGTCTGTTCTAGGTACGAAGCCTGGACTTCAAATTTGTGGGTTGGGAGATGGTTGCCTTCGAGACATTCGGACATCTTCTTCTAATGTACACAATTTAGAGAAAGAGTTAGAAACAGAACGCGCTACTCGAAAGGCAGCTGATGCAACTCTAGTGAAGATGGAGCAAAGGATGCAACATAAGATGAAAGTTGTTGAGAAACAATTCAATTTTACATTGCAGTCATGGTATCATTCTATACACCAACTATGCGGTAAAGTTCCTGGCTTTGTTGTGCCCCCATTTACACCATTGTCAATAGAGATTAATGCTAATGAGGAAGATGATGCTATTGAGGACGAAGAAAATAACTTTGATGATGATCAGTCGCATATTTAATTCATGAGGATGAAGAGTTATTTTGTTAGGTGCATAATAATAGATATAGAGAATGTTTGCTATGCTCATTACTCATTTTAAGTTTAGATTTAATCAGACTTGGTTAATGAATTTTATTTGTGTTTTGAAAAAATGTTTTGGATTCAATTTTATTTTGATTGACACCACAAGTCTTAATTAATTTATTGTCGTTTTGTATCTTTATACTATTTCGAATGCGCTAAAAAATTACTATAATGTAAAGAACAAATAAAATATATAATTTAATTTTCTCCCTACGAATTGTTTCATAATAGCTTACATATATACTTTCCCTACAAAAAATTATTTATAGAGAAAAAAGGGTTTAGCCCACAAAATAATCTTTTAACCCATCGTCACAAATTCTTAATTGTTAGGAAAAATGTATCTTAGCCTACAAATATTCTTTCCACACAAAAAAATATTTATAGGGGAAAACACGATTTAGCCCACAACATAATTTGTGGGGAAAAGCAAAACCTTTTCATGGGCGAACGTAACTTTAGCAGACGAATCATTTTGTCGGGGAAACCTTTACGCGATTTTTGTCTCCAAAGGGTTCGTAAGGAAAAACCTTAGCCCACAAATTTCAAAAATTTGTCGCCTTTTACCTATCCCTTCGATGTTTACCCCACAAATGTGCCTACAAATTTATTTCGTTTGCAAATGTTTTTTCCCACAAATATGAACCTTTCCCTACAAAAAAAATTTGTAGGGAAAACATCAAATTCTTGTAGTGTTTGGACCATTTGCACCAAAATGGTGCAAAGTTTGGTGTTATATTGGAGTAGTTTTGCACAATTTTTTGGTGCAGTTAGGTGTTTTGGTGCCACCATTGGAGATGACCTTAGGTCAGTATTGCAAATTCCTATTGTCTGAGTCATCTCCATTTTTCCTAGAACCCTATCAAGCTTAGTCATGAAAACGTAAATAATGTATAGTTTATCAGGCATGTTTTGCACTAAAATGCATAAAGATTGCTGCGCAAATTATTCTTGGAACCCGGAAACTGCCATTGATGATGTAAATTAAAGAAAAAATAGTACTGTTAAAGTTCAAACGAGAACAAGAAGAAAAAAAGGATAATATGTATGAGATGGAATTTTATTGTTTTTAATGCAGTCCAACGTTATATTTCATAACAGAATGCATAGTTTGAAAGCTAATAATCTCATTTTGTGAACTTACTTTGACACGTTCCCTTATTCAAGTAATTTTGCTGTCTATGAGTTATGTAAATAGTGCTCCTGAGGATAAGAAAGGGGGAAGATTCAGGATAAACCACATCGCGAACCTTCTTTTAAACATTCCAGAAAATAATCTCATTTTGGTATACTTTTATATACCAAAAAGACCCCCAATTGCACCAATAATTTATAATCCGGTCTTTAAGTATAGATATTTAGGATTTTTGTTGATAAATTATAGCCTAATTTCTTATATATTTCATTTGTTAGGTAAAACTCGATTATTGAAAGTGTTTGGAACAAAGAAGCAAAAAAAAGGTGGAAAATGTGATTTCCAAAGTTTGGGGACTAAATTAAAACTTTTCAATCGTTGATTTGGACCACAAAACAATGATCGAAGATTATGACTTACCATATTTGCATCAGATACCGTATTTGAGCTCATTGTTTATCAATTATCGTATTTGCATTCAATAAGTTGTAACAGTATTGGTAACGCATTAATTTAAAATTCCATTAGAAATGCGACCGATTATATATTCACATAATAGTGGCGAACGTGAACATTTTAAACTAGGAGCATAATCAAACTTCAAAAAATGTGAGGAATTTTACATTCGAAAATTTACATCCAAAAAAGATCATACCCCATGTAAATTTATGTCCGAATTTTATATTCGAAAATTTACATGGGTATGATTTTTTTTAGATTTAAAATTTAAAATTTTTTTGATGTCATACCGTATGTAAAATTTTCTAATAAAATAATGTAAATTATATTGAGAAATTTCTTGTGCAAAGAAAAAAAATGCTAGTGAAATAATTAAAAAATTTTAAAGAAAAGATGAGTTAGACGCATCTTTATAAGACACATGTTTGACATACCTTTAACTTTTTTCGATTTCTATTTAAAACATTTTGAAATATTTATAATAAAGTTCTCGAAATGAGTGTCGAGATAACATAGACGATTTGTAGATTCGATTGGCGTACGATTATTGGATAAATTTTAAAGTTAGCATGTTATCGAAATTCTCGAAATACTATTTTGCATCGGTCTATTTTGACAAGCCGTAATATTTGCTATCGTTGACCGTTTCTTGCGCCATTAACAAAGTAGAAAACTATGCCGGTACTTTAAAATGGTATTATGAGTGCAATATTTGGTCTTCATTTGGTATCCAATTATGACTTTGAAAATTGAGAGATGAAATTTAAAAAAAGAAAAGAAAATAACGAAAAATAGAGAAAGAAAATGCTCATTTTCCATTTTCAAACACCTAATAAATCCAAAGGTTTATCATATTGGGGGGGGGGGGGAGAGAGAGAGAGAGAGAACTAGCTGAAATAAGGAGAAAAATAGAGAGAGAAAATGTCATCTTCCATTTTCAAACAATACTTCTACTTCCTCAAACACCTCCTAAACCCAAAGGTTTATTGTATAACACACACACACACACACACACACACACACACACACACACACAGAGAGAGAGAGAGCTAAAATTAAAAAGGGAGAAAGATAAAGAAAGAAAATGCCGTTTTCCATTTTCAAACAATGCTTCCGACTTCTCAAGCTCAACGTCCGAATCTTTAATGCAACGGCACGTTCCACCCTCAATTCCAACAATAAAGGTATTTTTTTTATTTTTTTTATAGAAAAAGATTTAAATCCTTTAATATTTTTGTGATGTATTATGTGTTATTTTGCTTGATGTGGTCACAGATGAGATGAAAAAGATAAAGAAAAAGAAATGTCCAACCTACATGCTAAAAAATAAAGAATTCTCATTCCCTCTATGTACTTGATAACTATTTCACATATGTAAATTACATGAATAGAAAGTCCAACCCAAAAATGTTTTTAACTAATTAAACACCATGGAATTTTTGTCAACTTTTGAACACAAGGAACGTAAATTAATGATTATGAGAATAATTAAGATCTATTGTCCTTATAGGAATTGCAATGCTCTGATCTTTAATTAGTGGTGGGAATGTGACAAAATCGCAGTGTCCATTTTTTTCTTTCAATCTAAGGGTTTAGTTGTGAACAAAGTTTGCAATGGAGGGATAGATCTATCCCTCTACACTGAATCTGTGTGTATTACTATATCAGAATGACACCATAGCCAAAAAGATGCATGGTTACTTCTCAAATTCTCAATCATCTTCAAACTTTTCTTTTGTATTAATCTGATCACTCTTTGTATTATGATGTTTTGTCACTTGTTTCTATGTTTTTGGGAAACATGTTAACCTTTCTGTATTTTAGGAAATGTTTATTATTTGAAGTTTACTTCAAGCCAGTAGAAACCTTTTCTAGACTAGATTGCGCATGTACACATTACCATGGACATCAGCAATCATCCCTTCTTCAAAGTTTTGTCTAGATAACTCAAGCATTGGTTTCTTTAATCGTGAAACTTAACTACTCTCGTCAAATATAGAGTACCTTGTCTATATTGTTCGACTCATGAAAATCTTCATTGATTTTTATTTTACCATGGTTTTTTTCTATTTTATGTGCCCGTAGATTCATCTTTGGGCAATAGATATTGCCTTCCTCTGAGGGAATTACTGGAATATTTCACAATCAACCCAAACAATTTATGGTACGATCTTCATGTGGACAAAAAGCAGAAACTATGTATAAGCAACCTGCAACTACTTTTTTGCTACCATGACTGCCATTCTCTTCAACATGCTAGTCAATTTTTTTGTACTGAAATATCATGGTTTTGGGCATATGATAAAATGCTTATCCCTTTCGTAGCCTGAGTTATTCGTGCGAGGAATGGAGTGGCAAGAGGAGGACATGTTCACTTTTTATATTGGTTTTTTACTTTCTACTTCGTAGCCATTATTGACTTTTATGTAATATTGTATTTGATGGAATATCTATTATGTAGTTCGAGAAGGCTCCAAAGCACTTTAACTATTTTCAATGTCTATTTAAACCATTTTGAAATATTTATGATATAGTTCTTGAAACGAGTTTCGAGATAACATAGGCGATTTGTAGATTCGGCTGGCGTACAATCATTGGAGAAATTTTAAAGTTTACAAATTATCGAAATTCTCGAAATGCTATTTTACATCGGTCTGTTTTGACAAGCCGTAACATTTGCTATGGTTGACCGTTTCTCGCGCCATTAACAAAGTTGAAAACTATGACGTTGATACTTTAAAATGGTATTATGAGTTTAATATTTGGTCTTCTTTTGGCATCCCATAATGATTTTGACAATTGAGAGATGAAATTTAAAAAAAAAAAAAGAAGAAGGTAAAAATAGAGAAACAAAATACCCATGTTCCATTTTCAAACACCTCTTATGCCCAAAGGTTTATCATATAGTGTAGAGAAAGAGAGAGCCGAAATTTAGAAAAATGAGGATAAAAATAGAGAAAGAAAATGCAATCTTCCATTTTCAAACAACACTTCGCCTTCTTAAGCACCACCTAAGCCCAAGGGTTTATCGTATAACAAAAAGAGAGAGAGAGAGAGAGAGAGAGAGAGAGAGAGAGAGAGAGAGAGAGAGGGATCTGAAATTAAAAAAGAAAAAAGGGAGAAAGATAAATAAAGAAAATGTCATATTCCATTTTCAAACAACTCTTCCAACTTCTCAAGCTCAATGTTGGAATCTTCAATGCAATGGCTGGTTCCACTCTCATTCCCAACAATAAAGGTATTTTTTTAATAGAAAAACATTTAAGTCCTTTAATAATTTTGTGATGTATTATGTATTATTTTGTTTATTGTGATCACAGATGAGATGAAAAAGATAAAGAAAAAGAAAGGTTCAGACTACGTGCCAAAAAAATGAAGCATTTCCATTCCCTCTAAATACTCGATAACAATTTCGTATATGTGCTTTACATGAATAGAAAGTCCAACCCGAAAAT